TTCTTCATTCACATTGTACTTCACGCAATCATTCCCATTCATTAGGTTTTATAAAATTAATCACAATTGGACTATGTCCACCATTACCTTGTCTTTTCAGGTCTCTGCTAGATCTTTCAAATTTCCTTTATGCCCTCCTTCCACCCACCAAATTGTGCAACCTTGTGATTTTGTCCCTAGCCATTCTCACCCCTCTGTTCCCATTCCTTTCTGTCTTGGGTCTTTAGACATGTTTTACTAGTAATCTTTCTATTTTTTACACTGATTGTCTTGTGCAGTATTTGTCCTTATGAGACTTAGTTAGTTCACTCAGCATAATGCTCTCCAGTCTCTACAGTATTTTTCAAAATATTTGTTTTTGAGTGCTGCATAGTATTCTACAATTTCTCAATCTATTTAGTTGTAGTTGGACATTTGGGCTGTTTCCATGATCTCAGGATGGTGGATAATGCTGCTATGAACATTGGTGTACAAATCTCTATTTGTGTCTCAGTTTTAATTTCCTTGGAGTATATACCTAGCAGTGGAATAGCCAGGTCATATGGGATTATATGCTCAGCACTTTGAGAAAACATCAAATTGCCTTCTAGAGTAACTGTACAACCTTACAATCCCCCGCACCAGAATATAAGAATTCTAATCTCTCTACACTCTCTCCAACATTTATTGCTTACTGTCCTATTAAAACTATGCTACTATTGCTGGGGTGAGTTGGTATCTCACTGTGGTTTTGATTTGTATCTCTCTGATTGCCAGTGATTTTGAGCTTTTCTTCATGTGTCTGTTGGCCATCCAAAAGTCTTCCTTTGTGAAGATGCAATTTAAAACACTCTGGAGGGGCACCTAGGAGTGGTTTCTGCTCATTTAGTCGCTTGCGACTCATAGCAACCCTATGTACAACATCCCTATACTCTGCTCAGTCCTGTGTCAATCACACCATCTCTGACACACCCATCCCGATTACCCCAGTCACTGAATCAATCCACCTCATAGGGGGCCTTCCCCTTCTGGTCTGTCCCTCCACCCTACCAAGCATGATGTCCCTCTCCAAGGACCTGTCCCTCCTTGCAACATGTCCAAAGTATGTTAGACAGAGCCTTAGAATCCTTGCCTCCAAGGAGCATCCCGGTTTGACCCTTTCCAGAATGAATCTGTCTGTTTTCCTAGCAGTCCATGGTACCCTCAATACTCTTCTCCAGCACCACAGCTCAAAGGCATCAATTCTCCTTCTATCCTCCTTAGTCATTGTCCAACTCTCTGATGCATAACAGGTGATTGCGAAGACCATGGCCTGTATCAGATGCACCTTAGTCTCCAAAGAGACACCGTTGCTCTTCCGTACTTTGGAGAGGTCCCTAACAGCAGACTTTCCCATGTCAATACGTCTTCTAATTTCCTGGTTGCTGGTGCCGAGAGTGTTGACTGTGGACCCAAGCAAACTGAAGCTGTGTACCATCTCAATCTCTTCACCATCCATCCTGATGCTGCCAATTGGCCCAGTGGTGAGAATCTTTGTCTTCTTGACATTGAGCCTCAATCCATACTGGTGGCTGCTGCTGTGGATCAAAACCTTTTGTTTAATCTCTTAACTGTGGGTGGGGCATGGATGTCACAGGCCCATGCGAGAAACTAGGCAAGAGGATGTGAAGACCTTAGCATAATCCTCTCCACTTTGGCAGGCAAAATTCCTGCAGTGTTTGCTTTGTGGGGCCAGGCCAGTCCCAGCAATGTTGAGTATGAACTGCTCCATTTTCCACCACTCATCTGTCAGTTTGTTGCTGTGTGGTGGCTTAAGTTTTGCTACGGCACTGACAGCTATGCCATCAGTATTTCAAATAGCAGTAAGGTCATCATGGTAGACAGGTTTTTGGTAGGCAGATTTCAATGAAGCAAACTAGGAAGAAAGGCCTATTAAACTACTTCTGAAAATTGGCAAATCAAAACTTCCAACAAAACACTGCTTGATATAGTCCCCTAGGTTGGAAAACACTCAAAATACACAGTGCCCACTAACAATGGGAAACAATGGCAAACATGTGAAGATGCTGCTGGATGGGAGAATGCTCCCTGCTGCAGTGCATGGGATTCCCATGAGGCAGAGATGACGCAAAGGCAACAAACAACAACACTCCAAATCACAGTGTTGTCTTATACACGTATAAATTAACAGCGTTCAGCTATTCACAAGACTTCTCAAGGGAAAGCAAACAAGAAAGTGACAAAGAGCTCACAGCTCTAATTCCAAACATACACTCTGCTCCTCCCCTGCCTGCTTCTCCGGTAGCAGTCTTTCTCCTCCTATGGTACAGAAGAGGCATGAGCAGGAGGATTCAATTCTTCCTCTCCGAACTGTCCTCTGCCCTTGCTCTTCTAACGGAGATTCCTCCAAGCAAATACATTCAATCCCTCACGGAAGGCAAAAGGTATTCTGAAGAATACAATTGACATATGTTCTCTTCATAGAGACTTCCATCGCATTATAAACATGCATAAACAGAGATGTTAGGAACTTAAGAATTCAGATGACTGGAAAAAAATGGATTTGAAATATGAAGAAATTAAAATAACAGAATCAAAGCACATACCGCAGTACCCTGGGGTTCCACACACTGTTTTCATAAGCACTTGGTGTTCCACAATTTTAGAGAGTCCAAAATCAGCTAGCAATAAAGGAAAAAAACATTACAATGAAATTTTGTTCAATTAAATTATTTTTCAGCTTCTATAAGAACATTGGATGTTTCTATTAACTTAAAATATACTGATCTGTTTGTTTACTTTTGTAATTGATGGTGACGTGGGTAGAGTGGAGATGATCTGTTTGGGAGAGGATGCTGAAAACAAAAAAAAATGAATTCTTGCTTTATATTTGAGAAAAATGACACAGGGAGATAAAAGACTACTTCTAAATTAATATTATGCTTTCTTCATATTGCTCAACTTTTAGTCAATTAGTTATTTCCCTTTGAATATTTGTTAATATTTTATCAAGTATTATTAATTCTGAAGCTTATGGTATAATATAGAATTGGTAGTTTGGTTCAGAATCTTCAATCCAATGGGGATAATCAATATGAAAAACTAAACTTTCACAAATGTCAAGGAAATAAAAGTATCAAATGGCTTATTTTGTTTGGAAGAAATAATGTCTTTTCCTAGTGTATTTGATGGATAAGAGGCTACTCTTACGTAGAGAATAGAAAACATGTCTCTTTGCAAAAAAAAAATCCTTTTTATTTACTCCTCAGAATATTATCAGGGAAAATAATACCAGAAGCTGCTGCTGTTATGAGGTTATTTGTTGCACTACATTTCTGTCACTCAGGAAATATCAGGAAGCCCTTCCAGGCCTTTCTTCGAGAGAGGTAGGTACAGAATTGTTGCCATTTTAGACTTCAAAGGTAAACCCACCTTTCCACTGAGAGGCCTGATCCCTATCAGCAAAAGCAGCAGGAAGCCCTTCAGAAAGAAAGGCTCTCCTGCCTAAATTAGTATCTATCCATCCATTTAAAGAAAGTTCTTTAAGGATAAAATCTTTGAAACTGATGTCAAAGGAAATGGGAGGCTCCCTGCTGTCCGCAGCCTTTCAGAAGTGATTATGAGAACATGCAGGCTGCCAGCAGGGCCTGCAGAATTTATTCTTTAGGCTCTTGCATTCATAAAGCACATTATGTTGTCTGAGCTCTTCCGTGATATGTACAACTTAATTTTCAAAGGTGTTAACACTTGTAAATGCAGTGAACTCCTCAGAAGAACATTATAAAGGATAGCACCAGAGGAGTAGTGCCCTTTGGAGAATTCAATATAGATTCTAATGAGGAGAATTCATTGTGAAATAAGGATTTTTCTGCTTTTATAAATGAAGATTTACTTTGAGAACAGCATGGGGAGTAACAATTAATGGATTTTACCTAAAACGCCGATTTAAAGTGTCTTTGGATAGACAGAGGAGACTTGGCAGCATAGTCCTTGGCTGCTAATAAAAAAAAATGTCGGCTGTTTGAATCCTCCAGATACTATACAGCCGAAAGACATGACAGTCTGCATCCATAAAGATTTACAGCTTTGGAGACCCTGTACGGCTAATATACTTTGTCCTATAGAACTTCTTGGAAATGGAGTCAACTCAACTCCACAGGTGGTAGTTTGGTGGGCTGGATAGATTAGAATTTCCAAAGTTCAACTTTGGAGAAGTTGTTCTTCAAAATAGGGGTGTATGGGTGTGTGGGTGTGTGTGTGGTGTGAGAGAGAGAGAGATATTGGGGGTTGATTTCAGGATCAAATGAAGTTTAAGAAAAGCCTCCTATTACACTATGCCACTTTACATATTATCAGCTATAATATTCTTGGAAGTCATACAAAAATAAAAATCTTTATTTCAGCTGACATTTCCTATACTTATTTGATTTACCATAGAAACGGTTTGCTAATATGCACCTAGATATTTGGTGTCTTTGATTATTTAAAAATTAGTTCCAACTAACTGTTGGAATAATAATACATCAGCCCCAAAAGTATTTCATTGTCTGTTAATTTTCATTTTAGCTATACAGACTGATGTATAAAGTCCAAAATGCTTTCTAAAAGTTGAGATTCATGTCTAGCTGATAGCATAATCTTCTAGACCCTATTTCTAAGTTAATATTCTAAGACAGAGAACTTAAATTCCCCAAACCATAAATTAATATTCATTTACATATGCTAATTACTCAAGAAAATCAAGTGAAACAACACTTAGTAGAGTAATATTTTACAACGGCAAAGAACAAATTTCATCTTCTCTAGGAAACATAGGTCATAGGAAACGTTCTTACCAATTTTGAGTGGTGCATCTGGAGCTGGAGTTGCATAGAGAAGATTCTCGGGTTTAAGGTCACGGTGGACAATTCCATTTTCATGTAGATACTAAATAGAAAAAATAAGACAATAACGTGGATATTTATGTTTACAGTTCTAAAAGCTATATTGTTTCAAGACAACGATCTTTACTAAGTATATATAAACAACTCACACATGATTTAAGAATAAATATTAAAAAAAATTTCAAACTCGCTGTCACTAAGGTGTACTTTGTGATGGCCTAAAAGGGAAATAAAGTTCAAATTGTATAGAACTAATTCCTACAACTGAAGTATTTGCTTCTCAGAAAATATTAATTGCATACTACTATATCTATGAGCTCTGGTGGCCTAGTGATGAGAAGTTGCACTGCAATCTTGAAGGCTTGCGGTACAAAGCCCTAATCTGCTCTGCAGGAGAAGGATGGATAATCTCCTTTCACGCCATTAACTGCCTCTGAAAACCTGCTGGAGGGTCGGCTCTGGGTAAATTCTGATTCAATGGTACTACACACCAACATACATATGTAGGGAGTTCTGCTGGCCTAGTAGGTTAAGATGCAGTTTGTCCAGGCAATCTCCTCCCATGCTACTCTATTTACTGCCTCTAACAACCCACTGGATGGTTAAGCTACGAGTTGGTTCTGGCTTGACAGTACACACAACACTACCACTATATATATACAAATATAGATAGATATTGTTATTATTTGTTGTTATTATTAGGTGCCTTAAAGTTGAGCATGACCCTATGAACAAAAGACCTGAATCCTGTTCTATCCTGCACCATCCTCACACTTACTAACACACAAGAGCCCATTGCAGCAGTCACCGTATCAATCCATCTGGTTGAGGGTCTTCCTCTCCTTCGCTGACCCTCTACCATTCCCAACATCATGTCCTTCTCCAAGGAATAGCCCCTCCTAAAAACATGTCCAAAGTATGTGAGGTGAAGCCTCATCATTTTTGATCCAAAGAGCACTCTGGCTGCACCCTCTCCAAGACACACCTGTTCATTTTCTCTTTATACATATTGTTTTTGTTGTTAAGTGCTATCATGATTGTCTTAGAGATGGTGAGACCAGGCTGCTCCCTGGAGGCAAGGATTCTGTAGCTTCATCTGGCATACTTTGGACATGTTACAAAGAGGGACCAGTCCTTGGAGAGGGACATCATTCTTGGGAGGGTGGAGGGACAGCGCAAGAAAGGAAAACCTTAATGAGATGGACTGATTCAGTGACTGGGGTAATGGGAGAAGGTGTGTCAGAGACAATAAAATTGGCACAGGATAGAACAGGGTTTAGAGCTGCTGAACATAGAGTCACTATGAGTCACAGGTGACGCAACAGCACATAACAACAATGACAAATATATTTATCTCTAGATGGATCTTGGCTGAAAGCAGAGAATACCAGAAGAATGTCTGTGTTTCATTGATTATGAAAAGGCATTTGACTGCGTGGATCATAACAAACTGTGGCTGACTCTGAGAAGAATGGGAATCCCAGAACATTTAATCATGCTAATGCGAAACCTATACTTGGACCAAAAGGCAGTCATCAGAACAGAGCAGGGAAACACTGCATGGTTCAAAATTGGGAAGGGTGTACGTCAGGGATGTGTCCTGTCTCCATACCTTTTCAACCTGTATGCAGAGCAGATTATCTGAGAGGCGGGGCTCTATGAGGAGAGGCGTGGCGTTAGGATTGGTGGAAGATCTATCAACAATCTGCGTTATGAAGAAGACACAACCTTGCTCCCTGAAACTGAGGAGGACCTCACGCACTTACCGCAGAGGGTCAAGGACTGCAGCCTTCAATATGGACTGAGGCTCAATGTCAAGAAGACAAAAATTCTCACCACTGGACCAATCGGTAGCATCAGGATGGATGGCGAAGAGATTGAGATTGTTCACAGCTTCAGTTTGCTCGGCTCCACAGTCAACACTCTTGGCACCAGCAGTCAGGAAATCAAAATACGTATAGCGATGGGAAAGTCTGCGGTTAGGGACCTCTCCAAAATACTCAAGAGCAACACTGTCTCTCTGGAGACTAAGGTCTGCCTGATACAGGCCATGGTTTTTGCAATCACTTGTTATGCATCAGAGAGTTGGACAATGACTAGGGAGGACAGAAGGAGAATTGACGCTTTTGAGCTGTGGTACTGGAGAAGAGTATTGAATGTACCATGGACTGCCAAGAAAACAAACAGATTCATCCTAGAGAGGGTTAAACTAGGCTGCTCCTTGGAGGCAAGGATTCTGGGGCTTCGTCTGACATACCTTGGACATGTTGTAAGGAGAGACAGGTTTTTAGAGAGGGACATCATGCTGGGTAGAGTAGAGGGACAGCGCAGGAGGGGAAGACCCTCTATGAGGTGGATTGATTCAGTGACTGGGGTACTCGGGATGGGTGTGTCAGAAGCAATGCAATTGGTACAGGATAGAGCAGGATTTAGGGCTGTTGTGCATAGGGTCACTATGAGTCGCAAACGACTCGACGGCACATAACAACAAACAACAATATAGATATAGATAACTATATCTATATACCTATACACACACACACACATATACATATATACATATATAGATATAGGTATAGGTATATAGATATAGTGATAAAGTGTTATATATGTATAAATAGTGTTTTATATATATGTTGTGTTATATAGTGTTTTGGAAGGAGGAGTAGCATCCACTTCCATAACAGCTTGCCTCCTGAAACCCTATGAACCTGGAGAGAGGATGAGAGACACCCAAGCACTGAGGACTCTCCTTCATAGGGTCGCTATGAGTCTCCTGCGACTCGACGGCAGTTAACAACAACAACATATAATGTTTATTTACGTATAGTATTTATATATGTATAACTGGAATTAGCTATTATTATAATAAAGTCATAACAGTAAGTATTTAAATTTATTTGGTCACTTATCTGAAAAAGCATCCACAATCATAGGAAGAATGTCAGAATTACCACACGAATAGATATTAAAATGTGCATATACCCTCTCCTCATTTACAGACAATGTTAGGTTCCAAAGACCAAGTACTTAAACCAAAATGGAGGATGACCACATTAGATCACAGATAAACACACAAAAAAGGAATGACTAAATCACTACAAAACTGCCAAACTACTGATAATCAAGGTTCAGCTCAATTGACAATCTTAATCGTCACAGCCAGCCTTACTTTTGCCTCCTACCTAGGATTTTCTACTTTCAGAGATATGCTATTAATGAACAAATAGTCAAGATAGAAACGTTACTATTATAAAAATAAAATGTCAGATAATAAGATAGGTGATTAGTAAAGAATACTTTTTAGTGTTGGTGAATGATACTGAATATACCATAACCAGATTGGACAATGAATAAGTTAAGTTGAAGAAGTACCAATTCTTTTGTATTTGGTATTTGTGAAGAACAATGAATATTCATGGGCTGCCAAAAGAACAAGCAAATCTATTTTGAATGAGGCACCACTAGCATGCTCCTTAGAAGCAAGCTCAGTGAGACTTCATCCCATATATTTTATGCATCATCAGGAGGGCCAGTCTCAAAAGAAGAACACCAGGCTTTGAAAAGTGGAGAGTCAATGAAGGTCAGGAAGAAACTCAAGGATTGACACAGTCACGGCAACAATGGAATAAGAACATAGCAATGACTTTGAAGACGGCACACGACCAGGAAGTATTTTGCTCTGCTTCACAGGGTCATTTGGAGTGGAAACTGACTCATGGCACCTACAGCAACAATTTCCTTCCCCATCCACTAACAATGTCTTTGAAACTTTTCCAGGTATCATGTCACGTTCAATTCCTGTTTAATGCACCTCAAAGTCAACCAGTTCTTATCTGTCAGTGGTGGCTTTCATGTTGCCCTGATGCTAAATTAGTTCTCAACATCAGTCAATGAAAATTTTGTAGATTAAAATGGTCTGATTCTATTGTATTAGGGTTACCATGAATTCGAGGTTGATTTGTCAACAGCTAAAAACAAAATACACTGTTACTGTTACATTTGCACGTTATTTTCCTAGAACAAATTCTTGGAAGTAGATCTGCTGGGGTGTAGTTTAATTAACAATGCAAAGTATTATATTCTCCAAATACTGAATGAATTTTCACTCAAACAAAGACTACTATTTATTTTCTAGTATCTTCACCAAGAAGTGTATTTTTAACTGTTACTGAGGTGGTGTGTGAAGACTATCTTAAGGTTAGTATGTCTCCCTGTTTAGAAGTATAGCTGCCTTCTCTTTCTATGCTTATTGCTCTATATTTTCTCCTTTTCTATAAATTGTCAATTTCTACCCTTTGTCTACTGTCCTCTCAGAGAAAAGCCTGTCAGTGCTTTGTAATTTCTTTTCTAGCTTAAGAGGGATAGGAGGGGGCCCTTCATTCTTTTCACTCAAGTCAACTAATGGAGAAAAGTAGATATAAGAACATATAGAGTTTGACACATATCATAGTTATTTGGGGACCCAACCACCAATACATGGGTCTTTCATGAGAAATCAAAATATGAGAAGCTATTTGGATCATGCTGAGATGAGAGGAACTTTGTGGAATTCAGTTTTCTTTTTATTTTATTATTATTTTTGTGTGTGTGTACCGTCAAATCAGATCTGACTGATAGAGGAGGAGATTGTTCCTCCTTCTCCAGCAGAGCATCTGGTGGATTCGAACCATGTACCTGTGAGATTGCAGTGCAGCTTTTTGCCACTAGGCCACCAGAGCTTGCCAAGTATTCCATTTTCTTAAACTGTCACTGGACAAAGGATACATTTCTTAGGGCCTCAGTGTGGACTCTGGAGAAGTGAACCAGATACTAATCTTGAAGAATGACTCCTTTAGGGAGCTTGATTTCTTTAATGACTTCCTGTGAGAATAAAGCCACCTTTACAAGTAGAGAAGGTAGAATGTGAGGATGGTAAGGTAGGAGACTCTTTAGAGGATCTGGGGTTAGAGAACTATCTTATGGTAGAATGGAAGCTGTAGACACAAGAAATGTGTTCCATAAAGAAAAGGACAATCAACATGTATAACTAGACAAATCCAG